GAAACGTTCACCTCAACATTCTCCGTTGGCCCAGATTGTTCAGTATTAACTGAAGCTTGTTGAGGGAGTGGGCCAAACTGAGTAGGCATTTCTTCCTCATTGGTCTCAAGGGGTGGGTTATAGTTGTCATTAAAGGGAGGTGGAACACTATGATACCCTAGACCCTTGCTTTGATTATCTTTGAACTTTAATTGCTTTTCAATCATGGACACAACTACCTCACTTGACACATAATATTTTCTGAAATTAAAATCTGCATTTTCAAATTTGTTTTTCAATGTGTCAAGCTCGGCAGTCACAGAGGCAAGTTGTTTCTTAATGTAATTATAGTTCTCACACTTGTTACTGTACTCCTCCTCCAATTTCCTAAAGTCATTAGTCTTGGCCTCTAGTTTCTCTTTTAATGGTCTCTGGTCTTTCTTAAGAGTATACTTCTCATATTTTAGATCCTTGTTCTCTCTCTTTATCAATTCAATTTGCTCACGTAAAAATTTAACAGTTTTAATGCAAGTTTGAGAACATGAAACTTCATTGACCGGAATGTTTGAAGAACTCATTGTTGTTTGTTTTTTTTAGTTTTTCTTAAAAAACAAAGTGTTAGAACAAAAATAATGTTTACCGTCGAAATCTGTTTACAGACGTACACACAATCACGGTTCAAACGTTTACGGCCAGACAATGGTTCACGGTCCAAGACTTGTTTACGGTCAAGCAATTGATTACGGTCCAGAAACGGTTCACAGCTCTTGAATGGTTTACGGCTATTGAAGATGAATGGTTTACGGCTATTGAAGATGAATGATTTACGGTTCTATCAAGTGTTCACGACCGTAATCCCTTCAACACAACAAACCGTAAACTCCCAGATTTTGATGAAAACAAGTGTTTTTGAGCGGATTTCGATTCCCTTAGCTTTGAAAACACGATCAGATGCAGAAACAAGCTTGAATAATGAAGAAAACGAAGACTCCTTCAACCGCAAACGCAACTTGAATATGTTTTGACACCGGAAAGGCTCTGATACCAATTGTAGAGTCCCAAATCAATGATCCAAACTAGTGATCAAAACAATAATCAATCAATACGAACAAGAATGGAGTAGAGAAATAGATTTATCAAGCAATGCACACGTTTATTAGCTTAAACGTCTGGTACACCTTGAGCACACACACATTGACCGTAAACACTCTGATACGTCACATCACTCTGACAGACTCTGACACTATTTATAGGAACAGACTGGACATGAATGGGTTCACGGTCGTGAACCAGTTCAAGGCCGTAAACACCCATCATGGTCGTAAACACAACTGCAAAAACATATTACATGACCGAAAAATACATTTTGCTAGAAAAGTAAAGTATAAACCAATATTTTTGACCCAAAACATACATTCAAACTATAATAGGTATAGTTTGGGAGACACTACACTATTTTACATACTCAAAGAACACTATACAGGAACAAGAACATACATTTAAACTATAATAGGTATAGTTTATGGAACACTACTCTATTTCACTAATTCAAGGATACATTACTAAATAATTATTTAAGTATAATTATTTTACACTACAAAGTACACTACTACAAGGTTATACATACAGTTTCATGTAAAAGAGAACACTACTACACTACACGTAAACTAGTTAATACATGGTTGTGAGGTACTACTTCGGGGTACCCATCAGGGTACCGGTTCAAGTCCTATAAAATATAACCAGAGTCTCCTGGAGGGAGAGCCTGGATTTGTGTATAGATCTATACGGGACTGACAATCCCGCACTTGAGCTGCTTGCAACAGATAGGCCGACAGGCCTGGGGTAACAAATGTCATAACATTCTGATGCCTGAAGAACATTGTGAGGCCACTAGTCATATCAAGCATGGTTATATGAAACTCACAATAGTATTATCTAAAACATTTGTTTACGGGATTAACACTACTTCAAGGGTTTTATTTTAACTAATAGAACTACAGTACACTACTTTACACTACAACTGGTGGATTCCAGGCTCTTATACAAATGGTTTTATTTTAAATAATGAAACTACAGTACACTATTTTACACTACAACTGGTGGATTCCAGGCACTCATACAATAAGGTTTTCATACAAACACTACTACGAGCACTACTACGAACACTACTACAGTACACTACTTTTCTAATACAATACACTAGTTCAACATACAATTTCAAGAAACATTCATGACATAGTTTTATTTATTAATAAGACTACATTTTACTAATACAGACTACGGTTTACTATTACAAAGTATAGCTCACTATTTCATAATACGGTAACTACATACATTTTGGTCTTAAGGTCTAAGATTACATTTTATTCACTAAAGAAAATATTGGATTTTCTGGAAGTACACTATAATATTTTCAAAGTACAAAGACAAGTTTTCCATCTCAAATACATTCTTATGAACTCACCAACTTAAATGTTGCTACACTTTCAAAACCACTTGTATTCTCAGGGAACCGGTAAACATGTATATCCGCAGGTTTTGAGAAGACGGAGCTTTTAGAGTCACGTCTTTTATACTTTTGTTATACACTTTTGATGTCATACAAACTATGTATTGAACATATGTAAATACTATATTTTTCCAATGTAATGGTTGTGTTTGCTTTGATTTACTATTATGCAATTGATGTGATACTGTACATGACGTCCTCCATCACCGAACGTTTCCGCCGTTCCGGTTTGGGGGTGTGACAGATTGATATCAGAGCATTGTTTATAGTGAACTAAGTATATCAAACATTACAAGATATACAACTATAAACACAATGAGGCCGAAGTGTTCTTACTAAAAGTATACTTTTAAAATATAAGTATTTTATAAGAAGTATACAAACATACATACATACCAGAAACAGTATCACAGAAAGAACTATACAAAAGTATTTAGATGTTGGACACTGCAGTTAAACCTAGACAGTTATGTAATCATATCTGGGATAAATATAGCCTGATCAAACTATATTTATTTGAGATGTGACCAACATGTGTTTGGGAGTGATAGTAGTGTTGCAGCAAGTCTAAAACTTACCAACAATACATACAAGAGAAACTCTAGAACCAAACATAAAGCTAAATACTATAGGAGTATTTTTATGATTCTACAATACTAGAACAAGAACATTCAGGTTTTGATAGTTATACATAATTCATATACATTAGGTGATTATAGAAGGTACCAGTGTGAGTCATGCTATACAAAATTCCTTACAGGTGTTGCTATAAATGAAGTTAGCGATTGTTTACTTATATTAGTAGACTTCCACTGTAAATCGCTTAATAGAACACTGTAACAGTCAGGATAAGACATATCTTGTTCATTATCACCTGACTCATGACCACTATAGAGGACTTATCATCATTTTTTTCTTAAATCATTATAGAGAAAGATGCCTCCAAAGAAGTCCAACGGGAAGAAAAACAATCCTCCAACAAATCCACCACCGCCACCACCTCCTCAGTATGACCTTGCTGTCTTCCAAGCAGCAGTAATAGCCGCCGTGGCTGCCGCTATGTCGCAGATCCACGCAAGTGGTACTAGCGGGGCGAGCAGTGATGCCAACCCTTCTAATCAAGGAGATAGTCATGGACACCCAATGGAGTGTTCCTATAAGGACTTCACGAACGCTAAACCCAAGTCCTTTGATGGCACTGGAGGTGTCATTGCTTTAACCCGTTGGTTTGAGAAAACCGAATCAATATTCGAAATCTGTGTGTGCCCTGAATCTAGCAAAGTGAAATTTGCAGCATGCACTTTCACTGACAGAGCTCTCACTAGGTGGAACAGCCAAGTCAAGTCACTGACTCTTCCGATAGCCAATGCTATGAGTTGGGATGATTTGAAAGAATTAATGCTAGCAGAATACTGCCCGAGGGGCGAGATGCAAAAACTAGAGCAGGAGCTCTGGAGTCTGAAGATGAAGGACTCTGATATTAATGCTAGCAGCATACACCGCCAGATTCAGTGACCTGGCTCTTCTGTGTCCCGGGATGGTCACCCCGAAGAGTAAGAAGGTGGAGAGGTGCATATGGGGACTAACTCCCCCGACTCAAGGAAATGTCATGGCTGCCAATCCACTTACGTTCGACAGTGCCAAGCGTCTGGCACAGACACTAATAGGTCACGGATATCGCCAAGACTGCGTAACAGCCATTCCTGAATAGCCCAAAGAGAGTGGCAGCAAGAAGAAGTTCTGGAACAAATGAAAGGGCCAATCTTCGCAGGATCCCCCAAAGAAACAGCAAACAGTGGCAGTCCACGTTGCTACCATTCCTGATGTCGTTCCTACTGCTCCAGCACCTCCACTACAAGAAAAATGCGAAATAGCTATGGAAAAATTATGTAGCTAAAACATGATATTCCGTAGCTAAACACGAATAGAGACGGAATTTGCTACAGAACCATTATGTAGCAAAATTCTTCGTTACTAAAGGGTCGTTACGGAATCCGTAGCACCTTTCTAACGGAATTTTCAACGAACTTATTCTGTAGCAAAACAGCTATGGACTACATCCGTAGCAACACCGTAGAAAATTAACTACAAAATATTTCCGTAGCAAGTTCATAGCAAATTAACTACAACCTGGTCCATAGTAAATCTATAGCGAATTGACTACGAAGTACTTCCATAGCTAATTTTCGTAGCAAATCCACTACGAGTAATGTCATAGCAAATTAACTACGACGTACTTCCGTAGCAAATATTCCATAACAAATTAACTACAGTCCATTTTCATTGCAAATATTTCGTAACATATTAACTAGTCTACTTACGTTGCAAAAAAATGTTACGAAATAGATTTCATATCTTAAATTCACAACAATTTAAGTATTAATAACTCCGTAAAAATATCCATTGCAAGTTAACCACAAACTAGTTAAATAGCAAAAACTGGTAACAAGATTTATTCCATAGCATAATACATAAAAATTTCTTTTTCCAAAGCAAATTTATTAAACAAATCGCCCTTTCAAAATTGCAATAAATAATACAAGTAATTACATACATTCTTAATAAAAGTAGTATATCATCCAACCTGATCCTAATTTGTTCAAAACGCCAATCAAATTAATCTAATAGTCATATTCAACTATAAATTATAAACAAATAACCAAAAAAATGTATCACTTTATGCTTCCTGTATTGTTGAACAGCTAACTTTCATCAACTTTATCTCCTATCAGTGCCAAATTGGTAACAAACTTTGTAGGAACATCCAAAAAGTAACAATTAACTTTCCTTGAGATGTGAGATGTACATCAAACTTCCACCAACCAGAAAAGGGTAGCATGAGAATACTTATAGCAGCAACCCTAAAATTGCAACATGAACCCCAATAGTCCAACAACTTATGGAGTTCTTACCAAAATACCTTTTATATTTTGTAAAAATGATAAAATTCGTTGCTATTTTATAGAAATTGAAACCAAAACTCCAATAATACACCTTAAGCCTCATTGTTACCCCAACAAGAAAAAAATTTGTTGTATTGTTCTTCAATTACTCTAATGGACTATGTGACATTTATATTTTCATGTTTATTAGTCAAATATCATGAAAAATCACTTACTTAAACTTTTGAACCACAAATCCATAAAGATAAATCATAATAGAAACCCAAAAATCTTACCAAGTCATTATAGAGACCTGAAGAGTCGAAATTTGTATTTTCCAATGATCCTATGAGGTCAAAAGATAGAAAATATTGAAAACAACAATGTTTCCGGTCAGGATGTTGATCGAGAAGATATATAGTGAAAAAATTGGAGCAAATTGTAATAGTCGGAAAATAGTACCTTCTGTTTTAAGGTCATTCTTATACTTTCTATACTGTAACCTACAATCATATGTTCTCCACAGTTAAATTAGTAACCACCAAACAGAATACCTGGGAGAGAAAATGAAGTCATCACATAAAAACTAAAAGTTAAAACCATGTTTTGAATGAAATCATTCATCAAACCTGCATGAAATCAAAATAAATCAAAAAATAACATGAAGATATACAAACATACCAAATCTCAACAGATGTAATAATTACATTACGATGATGTGATAAAATTGTAAAGAACTCAGTATAAATACATTTCAATGATGTGATAAAAAAATATGAAATGGATTTTGATTATCGTGAGAGTCCAAGGGAACAAAACAGATACAAATGTTTATTATCTTGAATCGCACACCAGTAACAATAAAACTGAAGGGAGTAAGCTCATGAATCTCTTTTACATAGAAAACATATGCTGAAGGGTGAAAACTCCATGGAGGCGCTTCAGAGATGGATCTGCAGTAGTAAAGGCAGTCGACTTTAATCTTTGTAATGATGTGATAAAAAAACAGTAAATGGTATTAATATCTTGAGAAAGTTGATGTTTTGACGAATATTGGCTAGAGATAAAGGGTGTTTTAAAGATAAATTCTCTACCTGGTGGTATAGTGGCAGTGGCGGTGGTGAGAGATAGTAGTCGTGGTTGAGGATGGCGACGACTGGTGGTTGTTGGTGATGATGATGTCGGCGGCTGCAAATGGTGGCGGCGGAGCTGAGTGGTTGTCACGATGGCATATAGGGTTTGTGGGAGCAAGCAACCGGCACGATTTGTACGCGTTTGTGTGCGAGGATGGTGGTGGGAAGTGGTCACGGCACAAGAGATAAGATGAAGCTTGGTGGTTGTCTTCTGATATTAGGGTTAGAGTGGGAGCCGTATCTTTTTATTTCAAATATTTCAAAGATGAGGTGGTGGGCTAAAGTGGGCTGTTGGTAAACCAAGTGGTGGTTATCCGAGAATCAAAGGTGTGAGGGATGAAGTTTGATTATAAGCTTGTGACTTTAATTTATGTTTTAAAGTTTAAAGTTTAATTTATGTTTTAAAGGTCGAACGTATGACTATTTTGTCTTAGTTTAGGCTTAAAAAATATATTTTATGTCTATCTTGTTTTTTTATTGGTTTAATCTGAATCATTTGGATCATTTATTCAATCTAAACCGATACAATTTAAATCTAAACGACAAAAATTAAGCTCCTTAATTGTTGTTGTTTCCGAAACCAAGGATTCGAGGTTTCCCTACATCACAAAGGATTCGAGGTTTCCGACATGTTTTGCAAGCCAACCCTCCTCGGCGACTACCTGCTTCACGAGTAACCCAGAAGTCATGGGTGAAATCAAATCCTTAATCATGGATTCAATCTTTTACATCACGTAATTATAGATATATAGAAATTTCAGTGTCGAATAGAATGTGTCATTCACTGTTGTTTCAAACATTATAATCAATCGAATAGTATTGACGACTCATTCATTGTCCATTCCGGATCGGTTAAGGGTTTAAACTTTACTTGGGAAGCCTCCAACACTTAAATATGCATATTGAAAAATTCTATTACATAATATTTATAGTTTTTATTTTATAGTATAATAGTTATGACCTATGATTCCGTAGAAAATTTTGTAGCAACATAGCTACGGATTTTGACTTCGTAACAAATGTTGTAGCAAGCTAGCTACGGACTTAGATTCGGTAGCAAATTTTGTAGCAAAATAGCTACAAATTTTGATTCCGTAATAATTTATGTAGCAAAATAACTACAAACTTTGATCTGTAGTAAACTTTGTAGCAAAATACCTACGACTTATAATTCCCTAGAAAATTGCGTAGCATGATAACTACGAACTCCGATTACGTAGCAAAATTTCGTAGTTATTCAAATATTGGCTATATAATGTAATTTCGTAGTTAATTCTGTAGAAAATATACCTACGTCTAACTATTCCATAGCATAATCCATAGTAGAATAGCTACGGTTTTTAATTCCGTAGAAAAAATCCGTAGCTATTCAAATATTAGCTACGAAATGCAATTCTATAGCAAATTTCATAGCAAAATAGCTACGACAAGCCATTACGTAGCATATTTCGTAGCAGAATAAGTACGGATTGTACTTCTGTAGCAAATTTCCGTAGTTATTTCAACTTTTTCTTGTAGTGCTCCCAGCCGCTATGCTGGTAATCTGCCGAGGTGCAACATATGCAAATTCCACCACCACGAGCCTTGTCGCGAGATGCAATGCATCAACTGCAACAAGAAGGGGCATACAGCCCGCTTCTGTAAGACACCGGCACGGCCTAATACCCAGACCCCCAGAGATGGAGTAGGCCAGACCTGCTATGGGTGTGATGAAACCGGGCACTACAAGAGGGATTGCCCGAAAGCAAGAAATGTTGGCAACACAGGAAGAGTGTTGGCAATGGGTCAGGAGGAGGCAATAGTGGATCCCACCATAGTCACGGTTACGTTCCTCCTCGATAACTCTTATGCATGCATTCTCTTTGATAGTGGTGCGGAGAGGAGTTTCGTTAGTCATAAATTCAAACACTTACTCAAACACAAACCACAATCACTAAACGAAACATTCACCATCGATATGGCTAACGGGAAGAATGAGAGCACTAACGACATATTCATATGTTGTACCCTCACTCTGAATGACTACTCTTTCCCAATTGACCGTATGTCGGTCTCCATAAAAAGCTTCGACGTCATTATCAACATGGATTGGTTAAGTCCTCACCGTACTGATATCCTTTGCTACAAAAAAGCCATCCGCCTCAATCTGCCAAATGGCAAAGCCCTCGTTATCTACGGCGACAAACCCAATACAAACCTTCGCATCATCTCTTGCATCAAAGCCCAAAAATATCTGAGAAAATAGTGTCGCGCATTCCTATCCCATGTTGTCAATGAAAAACAAGAAGTAAAAGACCTCGAGAGCATTCCCGAAGTCTGTAATTTTCCTGACATCTTTCATGAAGATCTTCTAGGAGTTCCTCCTGAACGCCAAGTCGAGTTCCGAATCGAATTGATTCCTGGAGCTACCCCCGTAGCTAAATCCCCGTATCGCCTAGCACCGGCAGAGATGCAAGAATTATCCAGCAAATTGAATGAACTGCTCAGTAAGGGATTCATTCGACCGAACTTCTCACCTTGGGGAGCACCGGTCCTATTCGTTAAGAAGAAGGATGGATCTTTCCGAATGTGTATAGATTACCGTGAACTATGGGAGAAGGATGGATCGTTAAGAAGAAGAAGGATGGATCTCACTCGTCTGACGAGGAAGGGGGTGGATTTCCGGTGGGGCCCTGAGCAGCAAAGGGCTTTTGAGACCATCAGACAACGACTTTGCAAGGCTCCAGTCTTGACTCTCCCAGAGGGAGTTGAGGATTTTGTAGTGTTTTGTGATGCATCCATCACGGGACTGGGAGCGGTCCTCATGCAGAGAGGACGGGTGATAGCCTACGTGTCGCGACAGTTGAAGCCGCATGAGACGAGATACCCCACGCACGATTTGGAGTTGGGAGCGGTGGTATTCACTCTCAAGATTTTGAGACATTATCTTTACGGGGTCTGTTGTACCATCTACACGGACCACAAGAGTTTGAGACACATCATGGATCATCCGAACCTGAACACGAGGCAGCGCAGGTGGCTGGACGTAGTCAAGGATTATGACTGCGAGATCCTTTACCATCCGGTTAAAGCGAACGTGGTTGCGGACGCTCTGAGCCGCAAGTCAGTTGGATCTTCTACTCCAGCGACATGTATGAGGATATCAGTTGATTCTCCACTTGTGAGCTTGATCAAGGAAGCTCATGCTGAGGGTCTACGGCAGGAGAACTGGAAGCTTTAGAGGATTAGAGGCGAGATCACCCGATTTGTGCAGGACAGTCGGGGATTGTTGACCCTTTGCGGTCGGGTCTGGGTTCCGATGTCTGGTGGGGTCAGACATATTGTACTGGAGGAGGCTCACAAGTCTCGCTTCTCTATTCACCCGGGGGCCACCAAGATGCACCGGGATCTGAGCTTGAGTTACTAGTGGTCGTGCATGAAGCGAGAGATGCTTGGTACGTCGAGAGGTGCTTGACCTGCAGGATGGTCAAGGCCGAGCACCAGAGGCCGCATGGCAAGCTACAGCCTTTAGATATTCCCATGTGGAAATGGGAACAGATCACGATGGACTTTATCACCAAATTATCGAGAACGACAAAGGGTTTCGACGTTATATGGGTCATCAGGGATCGATTGACCAAGAGTTCCCATTTTCTGCCCATTCTTGAGAAATCATCGGCCGAGAAGCTGGCCGATGTGTATATACGCGGGATTGTCGCTCGCCATGGGGTTTCGGTCTCTATCGTTTCAAACTGTGATGTTCGGTTCATCTCTCGTTTCTGGTAGAAGTTCCACGAGGAACTGGGCACACAATTGCATTTTAGTACCGCATACCATCTGCAGACAGACGGCCAGAGCGAGCGGACCATTCAGACCCTCGAGGATATGTTGAGGGCCTGTGTCATTGACTTCGGTGAGAGTTGGGACTCCTACCTACCCCTTGCAGAGTTTTCCTACAACAATAACTATCACTCCAGCATTGGTGCTCCACTTTATGAGCTGTTGTATGGACTGTAACTCCCCAAATCGCTATGTATCAATCGGATTTCACTATGATGGTACGGAATACCAATCAAGTGAATGATGCAAGATATAATATCGAATAAGAACACGATGATTAACCTTCAATGCACACTATTATAGATGAATAGTTGGGTACATAAGATTCTTGATTAGACTTTGATTTCTCTCTGTTTCTCTCTAGAACGTGTTCTTAGCTTATGGCAGCCCCAAAAACGTCCCTCTCCCTTTACAAGGCTCAAATAACACTATTTATACCTAGACCTAATAACCAAGGCCCAACCCAAAACCCAAACAAGACAATATTAATCCTAACCAAAATCACATGTGATTACGGTCCAAACAACACCAAAACATGGTGTTTTCGGTCCTAGACCAAGAACTCTAATAGCTTGTGAAAAGCAAAGTATAAACCGTAATTTATGACCTAACAATCTCCCCCTTGGTTTACAACTTTCTTTTCTTTTCAATCTGCTCTTCGTTCTTGACTTCAGCTTTAATCTTCGATTTCTTCACAAGTTCAAGATGAACATATGAATTTCTACATGAATGACTTTATCTTGAATAGTTGGACATCCTTCAAAGATTTGACCTTGAACGCACATTGGGTGTAGAGGCTTCTTGTAAAGGTTCTTGAAAACCAGCACTTTCAGCTTTGAAAAACTTCAGAGATAATGACAGAGAGACCAATTCTTCTGGATCACTTTAGCAGGTTCATAGATAGTAGCAAATTGATTGAGAAGGCTTCAATGCAATCTATCACGTAACTTCAAGTACAGCTTCACCTTGCTTCTGGGGTTGAAAAATTGAACGTTGAAAAATAATCTTCACTTCCAGTTCCTTCGAATGAGAATTATTTAATGATCACCGTTGCGCCTTGAAAAGTAACCATGACTAAAAAGTCCCTTTGGATCACATAATCATAAAGACCCTTCTCACCACAGTTCTTCAAGGAATCAGCCTTGGCTCAGAAGGAGACTACTCGCAGTATATGTGTGAACACGGAGGAACGTACTGCGGAGAACTACTCATAGCCTTTTTGATGTTAGACCCTGTATATCCTAGATCAAAGATCTCAATACAGTTTTTCAAGTTAACAAGTTAACTTGGCCCTTGGCGAGACGTTCAACGATAATCGTGCCTTGCGAGGTGCATCGCCCTGGTGCCATGACATATGTACAGTTTCAGGCTTTTAATTCCTTAAATACAACGGTTCTTAGAAAGCTACTGCCTAACTGACAATTTGTACAGTTTCAATCCTTCAATTCCTTGTGAAAATAGAGTGAAGTGTAATGACCATCAACTCCTTTCCAAGTTTCTTTTCCTTGCTCAGAACGTTTCGATACAGTCTCCATGAGTCTCTTCTTCTTTTTGAATTCGCTTTTTAAGACAAACAAAACTTTGAGATAATAAAAAATAAAAGTAAAAATAAACTTAGCACACAATAGAAATAACTAAGAAATAAAAATAAAATTAAAAATACACTCAAAAGTAAAAATAAAATATTTTTGGATTTTTGATTTTTCTGAAAAAGAAATAAAAATTGAATTAAACATATATTTTTTTTATTTTTTTAAATTTTCTGATTTTATTTTTATTTTTTTAATTCTCCCCCAAAATTTGTGCATAGAAGAAAAATATGAACAAATTTAACAAAAAACAAAAATAATAACTAAACTTAAAACATGTT